AAACAAAAATACCTTATTCAAAAGTTCAACTGCTTCTGACTATAAACAAGCTAACAAATGCCAACGGAACCAGGCAACGGAATCATACATTAAAGTAGCATCACAAATTAAATGCATGATGCTATGCCAGGTAACAGAGTCTGAATGGGAGGACACGAAATTAGAGAGTCCACGATCTAAATAAAACCATTCCTTAACCCCATGCAAAAATCTGGAATCAAAGTTGTTCAGATAGCCAGAATCTAAATTTTAATGTAAAATCTCCCAATTTTATTAAGTTGTCAAATAATTACAAAATTTACTCAGTCAAGCAAATAAAATTTGGCCTCGGCTCCCAGCTTGAAATTTTTGCTCTAAATAATTCATCCAGGATCATACTGGAAGTTAAAAGGCTATTAAAATGTCAGAACATTAAATTAAAAATTTGCCCAGATGACACAATTGGGATATAAGGTACTAATTTGACGGGATAGTGAATTTTACAACTCATTTAGCCATTCTATTTTCTAACTAAAACCATATCAGAATGTTTTAAGAAAAGGTTACATTTTATCAACACAAAACATTAACATACTAGGAAAAACAAAAACATTTTGTAAATTATCTAGCATACGTTATTCTTCTCCCATGAAATGTTAACTTGTCCTTTAAAATCTTTGTTCCTTTGAGATTTTGGTTTTAAACAACTACCATGAAGAAGAGTAAAATATGTTTCTCACCATTAAAAGATACTCCACTGCTCTGTCAGGGTTGTTGAAACTGGCTCTCAGGGCTGCAATTACTTGCTCTCGTTCATAGCCCATTGACATGATCTCAGTTACCATATTCTCGTAAGACTGACCTGTCACTAAAAAGGGGGAGAGGAGGAGAAAGAAAAAGAACATTTAATAAGAAAAAAATTCTCTCCACATTTCTTGACTGTATGCATGTATACAATGTTTCAGGCACTACTGTGCTAGAAATACAAAGATGAATAACAGTATAGATTACAAAATATATGTAGCACATAGAATAATGGTCCTCCTAAGATGCCATGTCCTAATCCCTTTAACCTATAAATCTATTAAATTACATGGCAAAGGGGTTTAATTTGAGATAGGGAATTCATACTGGATTATCCAGGTGGGCTCAATGTAATCATAACAATCTTTAAAAGTAGACAAGGGGGGGGCAGATGAGAGGTTCAGAGAAACCGAGGACTAGAGGACAAAAGCAGATCGGAGATGCTATGCTGTTGCCTTTGAAGATGGAGAAAGGGGCCATGAGCCAAGGTGCGCAGCCTTTAGAAGCTGGAAGAAACAAGGAAAGAATTCTCCCCTAGGGTCCCCAGAAAGGAACAGAGCTTACCCCTTGATTTTAGCCTGATCTATAGTACTATAAGATAATAAATCTGTGTTTACATCACTAAGTCTGTGGAAATGTTATTACAGTAATAACAGAAAACTAATGTGTCATAAGTACGATAGAAATAGGTAACTAATGTGAGAGAATGAGGAGGTCAGGGAAGGCAACCTGTAAGAAGAGATAAATGAGGTGAATTTGGGGCATTTCAAGCAATCAACTCTGATATAACAAGTCTGCAGTTTCCCTTTGACACTTTATATTATCAACAGTGGGGAAAAAGTTAGGAGCTAGAAAGTTAGAATCTCACCAAAGCTGGTACAATGCCCTAAGTCACTTCCCACTGGCTCTTTCCAATCCTCCCTTCTTAGCTGAAGACTAACTTGTTCTTCATGGAAACAGCAGACAATACAAAACACTGATCGAATGAAAACTGCTTGCCTTCGATAAATTTTCCTCTCTTAAAATTATCTTTTCTTCCACTTGTATTCCGGGTACCACTGCCTTTCTTGCTACCTCAAAGAACTGGATTTGGTTATCCTCTCTCTACTCCACCTTCCACCCTGCCCTCTCTACTTAATTATCCTGATCAGCAGCTATGTACCATATATCATCCCAAAACAAAATTTCCCTTGATCCCATCACAGTCCCTTTTTCAGGAACTGGTTCATTTACCTGCCTTCTTCCCTTCACATCCATAGCTATCCATTCGTGCTACATGGCCACTTCCTCACATTCCACTCACTCAACTACTTTCAATAAAGATTTCCTGTTCAAATGTGTCCCACCATTATGTCTTTTCTCCCTTTCCATAAATGGCACCTCTATCCACCCAAGTGGTTGAACCAGAAACCTTGGTGATTTCAATACCTTTCCCCCGCCTTTTATATCTAATCTACCTTCCTATCTAGAAAGTACTATCTCTAAATTATATCCTAAGCCCATCTAGTTCTTTCTTTCTCCACTGCCATCACTCAAGACCAGCCCACAACAATCTCTGGTCTGGATTATATACTGCTTCCACTCCTGCCCCCACACCTACGATCCATTCTGCAGTCAGTTGCAAATGTGAGCTTTTAAAAAAGAAAACCTCATTTCAGAATGCCAGCCTTCAACAATCTTTTACCCACCACACTATCTTCTTTGGGTTACTTCAATGAGTCATGCCTTTTCCTGGCCCAGAGCCTGTACACATGCTAGCCTTCTCTGTATGGCTCGTTCCTTCACATGCCCCAGTTCTAAATTTAAGTTACAGTCTCAGAGATGTATTGCCTGGCTATCCTAAGCAGCCTTCTGCTTTTCTTTATGGAAGCCCTTTGTATTCTTAATATCACTTATCATGACTTGCAATTTATGTTTATTTTTCTCTTTCCCCCACCTGAATGCAGGTTTGACTGTTCAGAAGACCACACAACATGCTATTTTGCTATTTCCCTGATACGCAGCTGACACTTAGTATCTGTTGAATAGTTTGTTTTGTAGAATTTTCAAAAATAAAGATATTTAATAACTAAAAAAACCCAAAATATCACTGAGCAAATTAAGCATTCGATATCTTGCTTAAAGTAATAACCTTTCTTTTTCCGTCCCATAAAACTTTTTAATATTTAAAAATTATCCACTGATATAATTCTAGCACAAAGCCACTCAAATGGCAATATATACTTTAAGTAACCTAGTTCCCAAATACAGAAATCAGT